AGCCTGACAGCCAGTGAGCTCCAGATAAACTCCAGGTATTCATTTTAGCCACTCCATCTATCAGCACTCAGCCGCCAAACCATTTGAGCAAAGCCCCCAAACAAGTTCCCCAACTTCTGCACAAATGCATTCCTGAGAAAGTGCATGAAGCCAGTTTCGCAAGACTCACAACAATAATTTCGTGGGTACAGAGGACATTGCATTTGCTAGAGGTATACACGGATGCATAATCCGCAAATTACTTCAACTGGTAGGGTCACTTGTCAGACCTCTAGTTTCCAGGGTTTCGTACATGTCATTCTTAAAAAATAATTGGACTTACCTTGTTGGGTATTTATTTTTTCCTGATTACAAAAGTGGGCAGCTGCTTGTTGCAAAAGAAATTCAATTGTTAGAGAAATATTCAATATGGAAAATAAAGGTGGTGTGGAGATCCACGTGCAGAAGTGAACAAATGGTTTAGTGACATCTCTAGATTTTTACTTATATACATATAAGCATATATATATATATTTTTTTTTGAGACAGAGTCTCACTCTGTCACCCTGGCTAGAGTGTCATGGCATCATCATAGCTCACTGTAACCTCAAACGATCCTCCCACCTCAGCCTCCTGAGCAGCTGGGACTACAGGCCTGAGTCACCCGGTCACCAGCATATATTTTATATATATGTAGATGTAGTAGATGTATATATGTACATATATATCAACATACGTAATTTATCTTTTTTTTTTTTTTTGAGACAGAATCTGGCTCTGTTGCCTGGGCTATAGTGCTGTGGCATCAGCCTAGCTCACAGCAACCTCCAACTCCTGGGCTCAAGTGATCCTCCTGCCTCAGCCTCCCGAGTAGCTGGGACTACAGGCATGCGCCACCATGCCCGGCTAATTTTTTCTATATATTTTTTTAGTTGGCCAATTAATTTCTTTCTATTTTTAGTAGAGACGGGGTCTCGCTCTGGCTCAGGCTGGTTTCAAACTCCTGACCTTGAGCGATCCTCCTGCCTCGGCCTCCCAGAGTGCTAGGATTATAGGCGTGAGCCACCGTGCCTGGCCCGAGAGTTGTTTTATTATCTCCAGAAATTGGCCAACTCTGGGAGGGGCAGTCTCTCCAAGATCCGTCCCCGATGTCAAAGCATCGGAGGACAGAAAACGAAAGACACGGTTCACACAGCACGCTTGACAGTTTCGTGGTAGATTTGGCCAGGTTGCCCTGCCCAGAGCTTCCACCAAAGGGACACCCTTTTCAATGGTGTGGGAGATTTCTCGTTTCCCTACATCTCCTCCGACTCTGGGCATCCCCGATCAATGTTTCAATTCGCTGAAACCGGAGGGGGAAATTGCCCAGCTTGTGCAAAGCACACGCATGCTGCAATGAATGCACCGCCATTCCCTCCGCAACTAACCACACAGTCTCCCAGCTGAAGTGTGTAAGGGGCCCGCCCAGGTAAAGCGCCGCGGGGTCCGCCACAACATGAACTTCGCCTCATTCCAGTCTGTCTCCTCCACCCTGGTCGGCAACACGGGCCTTTTGCTTCCCGGAATGGAACAAGCCCCTTCCAATCTCAGGACCTTTGCACATGCCACTTCCTTCCCCCCGCGCCTGTCCACCTAGGAAGCTGCTATCCACCCTTCAGAGGGACTTTGAGCAGGTTTTTGGACCTGTTTGCCCATTTGTAATAATATTACCCACTTCAGGCTGGCTGTAGTGGCTCACACCTGTAATCCCAGAACTTTGGGAGGCAGAGGCGGGAGGATTGCTTGAGCCCAGGAGTTCAAGACCAGCCTGGGCAACATATTGAGACTCCATGTCTGAAAAAAAAAACCTACTCCCTCACAGAGTTGCCATAAGGATTAAATGAGATACATAGGTTAAAGCACTTGTTACAGTGTTTCAGAAAGTGTTATGATTGTAGCTCAAGGGGCACCACCTCCAGGAAGCCCTCCCTGACCACCCTGCTCAGGTCAGGTTCCCATGTGCTATCCTTTCTTGTGGATTCCTCAATGACTCCTTTTGGTATGTATCAGAAATATAATTAAATAATGACTTGCAATATCATCTGCTTCCTGTTTCTCTTTTCCATTAAAACTATGATAGCCCGGCACGACGGCTTGTGTCTGTAATCCCAGCAACTCAAGGGACTGAGGCAATCATAGCTCACTGTAACCTCGAACTCTGGGCTCAGTGATCCTCCCGCCTCAGCCTCCCGAGTAGCTGGGACTACAGGTGCACACCTTGACAATTTTAAAATATTTTTTGCAGAGACAGGGGTGGGTGGGGAGGACTCACTATGTTGCCCAGGCTGGTCTGGAGAACTCCCAGGCTCAAGTGATCTTCCTGCCTCAGTTTCCCAAAGTGTGGGGGGGTGACAGGTGTGAGAAACCCTGCCTGGTCCTCCACATCTTTTTATAAAAATAAAGAATGAAACGGAATAATGCTCACATCCCCCCCAAGCCTCATGTGCCCAGGCCACGATGCTCAAAGCTCAAAGAGAGAACTCTTGGTGGGTAGGCAGCGCCCCCATGTGATTGCTGGGAATATTTGTTTTCTGTTCGTCTACAAATGCCAAAATTCAATACTCCAGTTGTATCTCCTGTTTGTCCTTCTGAATTGACTTTCACCCTTCCTCCCCCCACACAACCCCCACCCCGTCGTCTTGTTCCCTGAACAAAGGCCGAGAGCACCACTGGGCTCCCTGCTCTTGTTACTTTCTGGGCTCAGCCAATGAGAGGCTCCGGCAGGAGATGGGCAGGTCGGAGGGGAAGAGAGGACAGGTCTTTATTCCTCACCCCCCAATGTGGGCTGCATCTAGTGAGTCACTTTTAATGCACTCAATGCCCCGGAAGTAAAAAAAAAAAAAAAAAAAAAAAGACACAACTTCCACCTGCTTTCACTCTCCTGGCTGGCTTGCTCCTGGGGGAGGCCAGCCGCCATGTTGGAAGTATGCTCAATTAGCCACGTGGGGAGGAACGGAGGCATCCTACCAACAACAGCACCCGCCTGCCTCTACTACAGGAGTGAACCACCTTGGAGGCAGATCAAACCTTCAGATAACTGCAGCCCTGGCCAACATCTTAACTGCAAACTTCTGCAAAAGTCCCCGAGCCAGAACAGCCCAGCAAAGCCACTCCTTGAAATGTGACCCACAAAAACGATACGAAATAATAAGAGTCTGGTGTTTTATGCAGCTAGTAACAAGTTCCCTCTGCTTGGAACTCCCTTCCCCCAAAGATCCACATGGGTCCTCGCTTAGATGTCACTTCCTGCAGCTTTCTCTGATGCCCCCTTCTTCCCCATCCCCCATCCTAGTTCATTTTTCATCCCATAGCCCTTGCCATAGCCTGTCCTATCACGTTAGTCTCTGCCAGCTCCACTAGGACAGGGACCTTTGTTTTGTTTGCTGTTGTGTCCACAGTGCCTGGAACAGTGCCGGGCCCAGGGTACTTGCTCGATATGGTGGCCACTAGGATTAGAACCCAGCAGACCCGATTTGAGTCAGGGCTGGATCAGGTTCCTGCCTGTTTCCTGCCCACTTGGTGCCCACCCTGGCCAAGGGATGGGACATAGCTGCGACCACCCCCTCTTACTGGGCAAACAAATTAGTGATTGGCAACTGTGACAAAAGACCCCCTCCAAACCTCCCCATTTCCCTCAGGATAAAACCCTAGGGATCCTCTATGCAAAGCCTGCAGTCCCCTGTCCCTGCCCGAAGTGCCATCATTCAGCCACAAAGCACCACGAACTGCTTGCAGTTCACTAATACAGTAGTGTCTAGAGTGGGGTGTCAACAAAGCTCTGGGGTTCAACAGGAAAACGCTGGGACATCTACATTTTTGAATCTCCATATTTTGTTTGCCAAAGAATAAATCTTTACATAACAGATAGTTACATAATAATCTACGGAATATATTGGTATAATTGTATTTGCATATAATTTACAAATTAATATGCACCTGGGGGTGGAGCTTTAAGATTTTTACGGATAGGGGTGCTCCATTGAAAACAAACTTTTTTTGTGTGTAAATATTTTCACAAAAAAAAAAAAAAAAAAAAAAAAAAAAAAAAAAAAAAAAAAAAAAAAAAGAAAACAAACTTTTTGGAATCGTTTACCCCAATGCAAGTCTGCCCCACCAGGGGGACATTTGGTGATGTCTGGAGACATTTTTAGTTGTCACGACTTGGAGTGGGGTAGTACTGGCATCAACTGGGTGGAGGCTAGGGATGTTGCTTCACTGCCCACAACGGCCAGGACAAGGACAGCCCCTGCCCCAAAGAGCTATTGAGCCCAAAGTGTCAACCGTGCCCTGGTTAAGAAAAGTCCTGTCTCAAAGTCCCAGACTCTTGCTCTGGGGACTTTGCACTCCTGTTTCCTTCTCCCCACCCTGTTTCTCACCTAGCTAAGGTCAAACTTCAGGGACTCTGTACAAACCGTCCCCTTGTCCAAGAGGGCATCTCTGATGTCCCCAGGCTGGGCTAAGACCCCACCTAAGGACTCCCCAGGCTTCCTGGGCTGGGGAACAATTCTCCTGGTCCGCGTGGGGTTCTCAACCATAAAATTTCCAATGCAGATTCCCTGGAGCCCCCAGGACAGCCAGATCCTGCGGGGCAGCTAGGGACGGGAACCTGGACAGGCCCCTCCCCCCCTGCCACCACACATGGGCACACAGCAGGTGGCCCAGGGACTGGTTGCGTGTCTTTGGCAAGCCTATTTAGCTCTCTGCTCCGATACACGATGCAGGTACTACGACCCTCCCCATTTTACAGAGGTGTAAACTGAGGTTCAGAGAGGCGACCGCAGCTGGGTCAGAGACTCAGAGCGAGAAAAAGGTCCTACTAAGCGCCTGATTCCTGGGGGAGGGGACAGGGCGAGGAAGAGGGCGACGAACTCGGGGAGCGCGCGCTGGGTGGGGTGGGGGGGCGCGCGGGGACTCGCTGCGGCCTTCCGATGCGGCCCCGCCCCCACGAGGGACGTGAAGACGCGGACCCCGCGCAGCGTGGGGACATGTGACCGACTGCAGAGGCCGCGCCACCTCCCCGCCCGAGGTCTGCGCGCTCCGCCGCAGGGTGCAGACCCCGGGCGCCCGCGCGGGTTCGGGGTGCAAGAGCAGAGGCGGAGCCGGGGCGGAGCCAGCGCGCCGGGTCCCCCTGAAACGAAAGCGAAACAGGGGCCGGGAGGAAGGGCGGAGCCGGCCGAGGCCCCGCCCCCTGCCCTGCGCGGCGGCTGGACCGACGGGCGCGCCCAGGTAGGGGGCGGCTGAGCGCGCAGTGCGGACCCTCGCCGGGACCCGCGCCGCCGCCACCATGTCTCAGGAAGGTGTGGAGGTAGGAGATGCCGCCAGCCGCGCCGGGGGCCGCGACAGACGCCCAGCAGGGGCCGGGGGCGCGGAGGGGGCGCCGCAGTTCCTTGGGGACCCCATCCTAAGCGCAGGCCTGCCCCCGGGCTGGCGCTCGCCCCGCCCGAAACGGAAAGTGACTCCCACGTCCCCCCAGAGCGAAGTGCGGCCTCCCCCGAAGAAAAGCGGGGGCAGCAGGGTCAGGGGTCACAGGCCAGGGATGACCCGGCCGCTCCCCCTCTTAGGCTGGGACGCTCGCCCCAGTCCGCGCCTTCCCCCACGGCCCTGCGGGGACTTTGGCTTTTTCCAGGAAATGCCGTAGAGGGATGGGAAGGGGGGGTGGCGGGCGGCGGAGGCCAAAACCAAGGGTCAAGTTCAGGCCGGGAGATCGATGCCCAGAGGTGGGGGAGGGGCGATGGCGCCTCTCCGTCCCCACCGGCGCTCACCTGTCCCCGTCCCAGCTGGAGAAGAGCGTCCGGCGCCTCCGGGAGAAGTTTCATGGCAAGGTATCCTCCAAGAAGGCGGGGGCCTTGATGAGGAAGTTTGGCAGCGACCACACCGCAGTGGGGCGCTCCATCGTGTACGGTGAGTCCGCGGGGGTCCCGGGGCTGGTGCCGGACGCGCGTGGGGACGCCGGGGGGCGTGGTGTGGGAGAGGCGTTGAGATCGGCTCTCCAGCGGGCCCCAGCCTGGGCGGAGGGCGTGCTGCGGCCTGGAGCTCCCACGGACCCTCCACGCGCCTTTCACTTAAGCACTTCCTCCCCCACCAGGGGTGAAGCAGAAAGACGGGCAAGAACTGAGCAATGGCCTGGATGCCCAGGTAACCTGTCCCCTCCCCTGCCCTCCCCAAAGGCCGGGTCACCGTGGGAGGGAGAGCAGAGGGGACCCGACCCATCCACGGTGACCCCCTCCGGAGCAGGAGGGACTGGGCATTGCCGGTCCACAGCTCTCACCCAGCCTCCTTCACTTTGGTACTCCTCTCGGTAGTCCATCCTGCCAGGGAGCCTGCACACAGTAGGTGCTCATTACCTGCTGATTGTTTTAAGTGGAGGGGAGAGCCATGAAACCAGGCGGTGAAATGAGCCAGGGTTATTGCCATCACTGGGGAGCCCCAGAAGTCAGGGAGGGCTTCCTGGAGGAGGGGGCACCAAATCTTCAAGGATGGGGAAGCTTGAGCCCCGGGAGAGGAGCAGCCGGGCAGAAAAGGGGACTTGGGGTGGGGGGAAGGGAATGGTGTGAGCAAAGGCTGGGAGGTGAAAGAGGTAACTGTCAGTGATGGTCCCTAGAAAGGCTGTGATGAGGAGACAAGGGAGGAGAGAGTGGCAGGGGAGCCCTTGTATTGAATGAGTGAATGAATGAATGAATGACTTTTTGAAGCACAGGTGCGACATGGCCGCTGCCTCTTAGACGGCTTTGGTGGCCTGAGACTGTCGATTTTGCCTGCCCTGGGAGGCCCCACGTAGAGTTATTAAAGAGTATAATAAAATATGTATTATACCCTCTCCAGTTATACACATAAAGAGTACGACAAAAATAACAGCAAAAGGAAACACTGATTGAGCACTTCCCCAGTGGCGAGACTCCAGGAATTGACTTGTTCCATCAGCACAGTGACCCCATGAGACAGGTCCTGTTACTTCCCCGTTTCACAGACAGGGAAACTGAGGCACAAAGTGACGATGTCACTTGCCAGGTTCACACAGCAGGCATGGCGGCAGCTGGGATTTGAACCCTGGCCCACTTGGAGTCAGAGCCGGGACTCGGAGATGCCCGTCGGCGGGGGACCCACAGGGAGGGAGTGGCTTGCCCACCTTTTCCCACGGCTCGAAGTGGTAGAGCCAGGATTCGAACCTGCATCTCTCTGAATCCAGAGCCCAAGCGCTTAGGCGAAATCCACTTGGCCCCAAAGAGGTGGTGTGTCACGCTACCAAGTGTGTGGCCTGTGCAGGCGGGAAGGGGGCGTGGGGTCTAGGTCTGAGTCAGGGTGATTGCAGGCAAGCCATCCCCTGGCTCTGGCCTCGGTTTCCCCATCTGAGCAATAAGGACAACGGGTGTGCCCCCCGAGCAGCGCTGCTGTGAGGACAACTTGAGTCCACACAGCTGGCCCTCAGTAAGCTCTAGTGTCTCTGCCTAGGACCCACCAGAGGACATGAAGCAAGACCAGGACATTGAGGTGAGCTGGTGGCCGGGGCGAGAGCAGGCTGTGGGTGGAGGAAGGGGACATTCCCGAGCACAGGAGGAGGGATGTCCACTGGGCCGGAGGGGGCCGGCTGCCGGGAGAGGAGGGCGGATGTGTTTACGTTGTCCCCACCACCCCGTCCCGCAGGCGGTGGCCACCTCCCTCCTGCCGCTGACCCAAGCCAACCTGCGCATGTTCCAGCGCGCCCAGGACGACCTCATCCCCGCCGTGGACCGGCAGTTTGCCTGCTCTTCCTGTGACCACGTCTGGTGGCGCCGCGTGCCCCAGAGGAAGGAGGTGATAACCCACAGCTTGACCTTGAACTCCACTGCTGACCCCCATCCCCGGGGTCTGTGCCTTGCACCTAAGCACAGCGGCCTCTGGGAGCCCAGCCAACCCCTGACCTCCCTCCTCCCTCCCTCCAACCTCCACCTTGCAAAGGAGGCAGGGAGCCCAGATTTGTCGCGTTTGCCAGTTTCCGTGGTGTAAGTCGCTGAACGTGCAGCTGGGCGGCTCAAGCCACTGCCAGGGGCCCGACACGCCGCCAGCGCCGGACACCGCTGGCAACCCCTGGTCCCTCTCTGTGCCACACCCCCAGGTCTCCCGGTGCCGCAAATGCCGGAAGCGCTATGAGCCGGTGCCAGCCGACAAGATGTGGGGCCTGGCCGAGTTCCACTGCCCGAAGTGTCGGCACAACTTCCGGTGAGGGCACTGACCCCCACCCCCCCTCGGCCCTGCCCCCCCCCGCCCGCCCCTCCCGCCCCGGCCCCACCCTGGCCCAGCCTCGCCCTCGCCGCCTCACAGCCCTGCCCGCCCCCAGGGGCTGGGCACAGATGGGGTCCCGGTCCCCCTGCTACGGGTGCGGCTTCCCCGTGTCTCCAACACGGATCCTCCCCCCGCGCTGGGACCGGGACACGGATCGCCGCAGCTCCCACACGCACTCCTGCTCGGCCGCCGACTGCTACAACCGGCGAGGTGAGGCCCCTGCCCGCCCCGGTGGCCTGCGTCCACTCTGTGGCCCTGAGTGCCAAGGTCACCCGCCTGGGCCACGTCCTCTCCCCCGGTGCCCACGGTGGCAGCCCCTCCCGCGTGTCCTCCATAGCCCCTGCGAGGGTCCCCATGGGTGTGTCTCCTTAGCCCTGTGCCCTGTAGTCTCGGGCGCTCCCTGCGTCCCCGTGTCCTGTAGCTTGGGCACCTCCGACTTTCCTGTAGTCGCCCCCCCTCCTGTGGCCTCAGCCCTTCCTCCCCGGGGACGGGGATGCGTGGGACCTGGAGTCCCCCGACCGCAGCACCTCTCCCTCCCCAGAGCCCCACGTGCCTGGGACGTCCTGTGCGCACCCCAAGAGCCGGAAGCAGAACCACCTCCCCAAAGTCCTCCACCCCAGCAACCCCCATATCAGCAGTGGCTCCACCGTGGCCACCTGCCTCAGCCAGGGCGGCTTGGAAGACCTGGACAACCTCATTCTGGAGGACCTGAAGGAGGAGGAGGAGGAGGAGGAAGAGGAGGAGGGCGGCGGCAGGCACAGGGAGTGACCCCTGCCAGGCGCAGACACAAAACAGACACGGTCCGTGGAAACTTTGTCTTGTTATAAAATACGATCTCAAACCGCGACATCAGTGCCCGTGGGGAGCCATCCGGGTCTGAGCCATTGGCGGGGGGTTCCTGGGGCCCATTTGGGGGGCGTCCGGGGTAACAGACCCCAACATGGGAGGTTCTGTGGGACACGTCAGCACTGAGCCACGAAGGAGGTGTGGCCAGGACAGCCTGGGGCCCCTGGGGCCTGAGGGACAGATGGACACGTAGTCACGGCCGCAGGGGCCGGATCAGCATGGCAGCCTTCTTGAGCGAGTACGCCCCGCCACGGAACTCCGCCCAGTAGACGCCATCCTGGTAGCGGCTCCGGTAATGGCCACCGCGGTGCCACACACCGTTGAGGTTGGAGTGGGCGCAGGCATGGTACCACCAGCCTCCCCGCTGATACAGGGCACAGTTACCTGAAGGGAGAGAGAGTCCATGTCCCCTCATCAGAATAAAAGCCAGTACCAGCACCTTACAGTGCAAAGCTTTTGCTGGGTATCCCTTGGCTTTACCTACTCTTATCAAATACAAGCCCTAATCTTCCATCTCCTCGCCAAAATAGGAGCCCTTGTCCCCACACCCACTTTCTTCTGAGTAATAGCCTTAATTCCTTCCCTATCTCCTTACCAAAATACAAGTCACACCTTTCCCACTTTTTCTGCAAACTAGGAGTCTGCTGCTCATTTCTTTATCAAGGAAAAAACAAATCTTCTCTACTTCTAGAAATAGAGTTCTAGCTTTCACCCTCTCTCTGCCCTTCCCCAGAACAGGGGTCTTGACTCTTTTATTGCCTCATCAGAGAAGGAATTTGGGTTCCCCATTTCCTCACCAGAATACAAAGTCCTGTCCCTTGTTCTCTTGCCAGAATAAAAGCTTGCTTATCCTAATACTTATCAGAGGGGCGTCTTACCTACCATACCTCCTTTCATACATTCCCCCACCAGAACAGGAGTCCCGCCTCCCCTTTGTACACCCCCATCAGAATAAGAGTTCTCCTTACCAGAATAAGAGTCTCGGTCCCTATCCACGGTACTGAAAGGCTTGTCGTTGTGCCAGGAAAGAGAGTCCCCAGCATCACCGTGGTACTGGCCAAGTCGCAGGCGGTAGTGGTCGCTCTCGGGTTCCAGGGAGAAGCCATCGTAGTGGGCACGTGCTCCCCGGCCCCCCCAGTCCTCCAGGAGCACCAGCAGCTCGTGGTCCCCACGGCTGGTCAGCTGATACACAGGTTCAAGGCCCAGCCAGTACTCTCCGTCGGGCTGCCCAAAGCCCACCTGGCGAGGAAGGGGAGTCAGCAGGTCAGAAACACGGGCTTCCTCCACTGCCTTGCTCGCGCCCCCCCGCACCCACCTTGTAGTGCTGCCAGGTCGTGAAGAAGTTGACGGAGCCATCTTGCCTCCGCTGGATCACTGTCCAGCCGCCACCCTCCAGCTCCTGCTCGCACCACGCCGACACCACAAGCCGGCCCATGCGCAGCTCATACACCCCGCTCTGCTTGTGGCCTGCCTGCTGGGCTTCTGCACAGTCCCGCCAGGGGCCTGTGGGCACAGGGATATGGGGGAGGCGCAGTGGGGCCAACCAATCCCTTCCTGAAGTAAAAGTCCAGATTCTCACAGGTCCCCTCACCAGAATAGAAGTCCTGCCTCTCCCATTGCCTCACCAGAATAAGAGCCCTTTATCTGAGTAAGAGGTCTCTATTCGCTCACCAGAGCAAATGTGGAGTCTGAGGTTCTCTGGTCTCCTTACCAAAACATAAGTCCTGAACATGGTACTCTAAACCTGCTCAAATTTCTCACCAAAGTCCACCATCCCCTTATCAAATTAAGAGGACCTCCTCTCCTATTTTCACACTGTAGTAAGAAGCTTGGTCTTCTTACATCAGAATGAGAGCCATATCTCCCTGTTCCATCATCAGAATAAAAGCCTCCTTTTCTCTGGTCCTTTCACCATGAAAGGAATCTGCCATGACAATCCCGCCCCCTCTGTTTCCCTCTGCCCGCACTGTACTGGGAATGCCCTGGCTCACAGGCGTGCCACCGTCTTACCTGCCGGCTTGGTGGGGACGGCAGGGTGCCCTGCGGGCACAGGAGAGGCCAGGGGCCCCTGCCGTCTCAGGGCCTGGTCTCTCTCTGGCTGTGGGGCTGGATCCAGCCTTCTGCTTGCGTCACTGGTGCCACCCACCAGACTGACTGGGACCACCGGCACCAGGGGCGGTGGCAGAACCTGGGGTGACCAAAACCTTCAGATAGAATTGCACTAGCCCCCAGGGTCTCGGGGTTGGTGGATACGTCTCCTAGCTCCCAAATGATCTGGGTACCAGGCAGCCGGGATGTCCCAGGCCTGGAAATGCCTCCTCCCCAGTGGCTAACTCTCGTCTTTGAAGCGCAGACAGAGCTGAGCTTCAATGTCCCCTCTGGTGTTCACAGCTTAACTAATCTGTGCCTCAGTCTCCTTTTCTGTAAAGTATGGGCAACAAGAGTTCATCCAACAACAACTTACTGAATCCTCCCACCAGCCCTGTCAGGTAGGAACTGTCCCAGAGCAATAACCTCTTATCCAAAACCCTGGGCCAGACACGTTCTAGAATTCAGAGTAACACTGCAGGGCTTAGACGCAGTGACATGGGGCGTTATGCAGATGTCTACATGTATGTGTATAAACGCGTGTGTGTATTACACGTAACACCCCTAACCGAGTCTTTGGACGCGTAATTATAGGATCCTATGAATATTCACATCAAGTGGATAAGTGAAGACTATAAATAGCCACCCGTCACTTTTTGACCCAAATAAGTCACGAGACGGGGACAGGCAGGGCAGCGGTTTGCAGGGTTCTCAGATTTCGGAACTGACCCCCGTGATCCTGGGGGTTGCAGGCGGCCCGTTTCACAGACGCGGCTGCTGCCATGGGGAGGCTCCGAGGTTACCTGCTGCTGCTGCCCGCCCGCGCCCCCCGGGCACAGGCGCTCCAGGCGGGCGATGAGGCCGCTCTGCTGGCTCACCAGCTGCGCCAGCTCGCGGAACTTGACGTCCAGCTGGTGGAAGCGCGCGGCGGCGCGCTGCGCCTCGGCCGACGCGTTGAGCACGCGCTCCCCGAGCAGCGCGAGCGCGGCGGCAGGCTCCGCCCCCGGGCCCGGCCCCGCCCCCGGCCCCGCCTCGTGCTGCAGCTGCGCGCGCAGCTGGCCCAGGCGCGCGCTCAGGCCGCGGCTCTCCTTGCGCAGCGCGCGCACCTCGCCGGCCACGGCGCCGTCGGCCGCCGCCAGCCTCTGCAGCTCGCGCAGCAGCTCCTCGTGGCGGCCCACGCGCATGCGCAGCGCCGCCACCTCGCTGGCGTTCGCGGCCTCGGGCGCCGGCCGCGCGGCCGCCGGTCCGCTCCAGCACACGGCGCCCGTGAACTTCTGCTGCGGCAGCACGAAGGTGTAGGTGCAGCGCGGGGCGCCCGCCCGCGCCCACGACGCGCCCAGCAGGAGCAGCAGCTGCAGCCGGGGCGCCCACATGGCAGACCTGCGGGCAGAGGAGGAGCGGGAGGGAGACCGGACGTCGCAGGCCCGGCCAGGCCCATCGGTTCCCACGCGCGCGCGCGCGTCTACACCGGCGCGGGGCCGGGGCCATAATTCCCCGCCTCGAGTCCATTCCCCCCACCCTGCGGCTGGAGGGCCCCAGGGGGATCGCGCCCTGGCCTCTCCACCAGGCGCCCTACAGGACACGTCTCTGGTGCATTCATTCAGCAAGCAATCACTGAGCGCATAATGTGTGCCAGCCTCTGTTCTAGGCGCTGGGAATACAGTCAGGAACAAAACAGACAAAAATCCCTGCCCTGGAGACCGGCGCGGTGGTTCCATTCAGTAATCTCAGTTCTTTGGGAGGCCGAGGCGGGAGGCATCACTTGAGGCCAGGAGTTCAAGACCAGCCTGAGCAAGAGTGAGACCCCCGTCTCTACCCAAAATAGAAAACATTTTCTGGGCATTGTGGTCTGAGCCTGTAGTCCCAGCTACTTGGGAGACTGAGGTGGGAGGATCACTTGAGCCCAGGAGTTGGAGGTTGCCGTGAGCTATGATGATGCCACTGTACTCTAGCACAGGAGACAGAGCAAGACCCTGTCTCAAAAAGGGGGGGGAAAATCCCTGCCTGGTGGGCAAGAAACAAAATACTAAGTACTATTATTTTTTTTTTAATTTTTACATTTTTTTTCTTTTTTTACTCACCCACCCACGTCAATACATAAGTACTGTATAGGTTGAATGGAGTATATTAGAAGGTGCAAAGTGCTAAAAACAACAGTAAACAGAGAGGGCTGTGGGGGTCCATGGGGGCAGTTTGAGAGGAGGGGGTTGCCAAGAGGAAGTCCTGCAGGAGGAACTCTTGAAGGGGTGACAGGAAGTCCTATGGGTGTCTGGGCAGAAAAGCATTCTAGGCAAGGGCAATAGCAGGTGCAAAGGCCCTGTGGCTGGCCCACGCCTGATATATTGAAGGAACCTCGGGGAGTCTGGAGCAAGAGCAGAGAAAGTTCGAGCAAGGAGGTGAGGTGGGGTGGGGTCACGTCTCACTAGCTCAGTCTTCCCATCTGTCCAATAGTGGCCACCCCATCCTCCATGTCCTCATACGTAAACCCAGGGTCCTCATGTCTCTCTGGGGGTTTGTTTGTTTGTCTGTCTGTCTGAGACAGAATCTTGCTCTGTCACCCAGGCTGGAGTGCAGGGGGTGTCATCATAGCTCACTGCAGCCTCCAACTCCTAGGCTCAAGCAATCCTCCCACCTCGGCCTCCCAGAGTGCCAGGATTACAGGCATGAGCCACCGCACCCAGCTGCCTCATGTCTGTTTCTTCACAACAGATCCGACCCATCAGCCAGGCCTGTCTGCTCTTCTGTTTAGACCCTGAATTCCTCTACGTCCCCCCTTCTCCCTCCCCAGATTCCCAGCTCAACACGCCATCTGGATTCCCTGAGAGCAGCTGCCTCCCGGGTCTCCAGATTTGCCCCCTCAACCTCCGGTCTATTCCCTCTCTCAGCGACCAGAGGCTGCCTGTGACATGTCAGTTCATGTCCCTCCCCTGCTCAGAATCCTTGGTGGCTTCCACCTCATTTAGATGAAAAGCCCAAGTCCTCTCTGTGTCCCATAAGCCCTTGTCCCATCTGCCTTGTCCCCTCCTGCCCTCACCTCCTCCCACTCATGCCCTGGCTCACACCAAACTCCAGCCTTAGGGCTTTTGCACTTGCTGTTTTCTCAGCCTACACAGTAATCCAGTTTTGTTTTGTTTTTACCCTGAGACAGGGTCTCACTCTGTCACCCCAGGTAGAGTACAGTGGCATCATCACAGCTCACTGCAACCTCAAACTCCTGGGCTCAAGAGATCCTCCTACCTCAGCCTCCTGAGTAGCTAGGACTACAGGCACGCGCCACCATGCCTGGCTAATGTTTTTCTATTTATTAGAGATGGCGTCTCTCTCTTGCTCAGGCTGGTCTTGAACTCCTGAACTCATCTTCTCCAAATGTGAACATGGTTCCTTCCCTAGCCTCAGAAGCAAGTGTCTTCACTTGAGGGCGGATCCTCGTGGCCACCCCCCACCCCAGCCCCGCAGGGTCTGCACACGGGGCCGCATTGCCGTCATCCCTAGGCACGCCAGGGTTGACACACTCGCAGCCCCTCAGACCGGGTCGTGCATGCCTGTGCACCTGCTGACACTCGGAGCACGAGTCCACACGTGGCCCCCCCGACCTGCAACAAGTGCCACCATGTCCTATCCTGAGGGCCACACAGGCACGTGTCCTACGGTCTTCAGCACAGGTCCTGCTGCCTCATGCACACGTTCAACGACACACCCCCTGGGTGCCTGTCGTGTGCCAGATGCTGCCCAGGCAATGGGACCTGGACCAAAATAGACAAAATCCCCGCCCTTATGGAGCTGGCAGTCTAGCTGGGAAAACAGACAAATAAGTCAAACAGCCAGTAGGCGGGTCAGAGGGTAGAGAGTGCCAGGATTGGGGGGCAGTGCATTTAAACAGCGGGCTCAGGAATGGCCTCACTGAAAAAATGACACTAGAGCAAAGACCTGCAGGAAGAGAGAGAAGAGAAAGAGTGTTCCAGGCAGAGGGCACGGCATGTGCAAAGGCCCTGAGGTTGGACTTTGCTTTTGATCTGCTCGAGGAATAGCAGGGAGGCTGGAACAGAGCGATGGGGACACAGGATGAGGTGAAGGCAGGGAGGTGACAGAGCAAAGTGTGTAAGGCCCTGTGGGCCTCAAGCAAGATGTGGGTTTTACTCCGGGGGGAGTCCTGGAGGGTTCTGAGCTGGCGAAGGGCATATTTGCTGCCGGACTCACACACCAAGCACCAGCTCCCAAGGGTGGAGCAGGATCCTCTCCTTGTCCCCATCTCACGCCCCACAACAGGATGGACCAAACCCCCCAGAGCTAGGGACTGTGAGTAACACCCACCGCCTTTCATACCCTCAGCCTGGGGTGAGGACGAGCTTGGGAGCACCCCCCACCCCCCAGCCAAGCTGAGGCCGAGGTCTCCCGACAGACAGACTCCGTCTCCACCTGCCCTTCCGCCCTCTCACCTGTCCAACCTGAATCCAGCAAGGCTTGCCGCCGGCTCGAGTCAGAAAAAGAGCTGAGGGTCTGTCTGGTGGGACCTCCGAGCTGGGGAAGGGGCGAGGCCAGTGGAGAGAAGGAGAGAGGAGGCTCGGTCACCACTGCGTAGCCCCCAGAGCCTGGGAGCGGGGCTGAGATGCTCAGCCCAGGAGGCCCAACTGTAAATATTTAGCATTTCTCGCCTGAGAACTCAGGCAGAATTGCCAGACGCCCCGGCCCAGGACACCAGAGGCTGATAACACAGGTCAGTGTCCTCCACATCCCTCCTCTTACCCCCGCAGCAGAGCGCAGAGCGTGGGAGGCTGCAGGCCCCGGCGGCCAGGCTAGATCCCACCCCAGGCGCGCACACACCCCGCACAGAACCACGACCGTCAGTGAGCACCTGGCTGCGTGTGGGGCTGGGCTCTGAACGCCTCTCGCCTTTTATCTCACTTAACCCTCACGACCTGAGCTGGCTTCTGTATGTAGCCTCATTTTACAGCAGGGAAAACTGAGGCTCAGAGAGGGTGAGCGCCTTGCCTGAGGTCACACAGCCAGAAAGGGACGAAGATAGGATTCGGCCCAGGTAACTTGGCTTCGGAACTCACACAGGTATACCACACCGGTGGCACACATATGTGCACATAACAGAACAGACATGAAGACGCGCGCACACACACACACACACCACACCCCAATACTCAAAAAAGCATGCAAACGGCTACACCGAGCAGCAAAGATACGATGGAATCCGTATGTGCGTATGCACGTCCACGAATGTGTCTGACACACACACATATAAAGACACAACTGGGCTGGGCGTGATGGCTCTTGCCTGTAATCTTGGCATTTTGGGAGGCCGAGGCGGGAGGATTGCTTGAGGCCAAGAGTTCGAGACCAGCCCGAGCAGGAGTGAGACCCTGTCTCTACTAAAAAATTAAAAAATTAGCCAGGCGTGGTGGCACGCGCCTGTAGTCCCAGTTTGAGCCCAGAAGGTTGAGGTTGCAGCGAGCTATGATCGCACCACTGCACTCCAGCCTGGGGGACAGAGGGAGACCCTGTCTCAAAACAAACAACAAACAAACAAAAAAACACATCGAGGCAACAACTGTGTCTGAAACACGATCACACACCACAATGTAGGAGGAAACGCCCGTGGCCTGAGTGTGCCTGTGCAAGCACCAGGTATGTGTGATCACACAGTGGCAGCAAAGAGACGCTAAAGACGAACACAGTGACGTCAGACGCCCACCCGCCTTGCCGTTTGTCCCCCACACCTCCGTCACATTCTCACACAAGTCAAACCACGCAGGGACAGGACAGGGGGCAATGACCACACAGCCGTGCCTCAGAGGGACAAAGAGACTCACGTGGAGGCCCCCGGATCCCAGGCCCCGTGTCTCCAACGGGTACAAAGGCCCCGCGCCAGCAGACACGCGGGGACAGCAGCCTGCTTCCCGCCCCGTCCTGAGCTCCGAGCAACCCGAGTGCACTCCGGGGCCCAGAGAGGAAATGGCCGTCCCGGATCCAAGACAGGCTGCCAGGCCGGGCTCCAGGCCTGGGCGGGGGCGGGGGGCCCCCCACCCCCGGCCCCTCCGGCGTCCCCACTGGCAGCAGAGAGAGGGGAAACCTCATCAGTCACAGAGAGGGGCTGACAGAAGGCAGAGAGTCACAGAGACAGAGGAGGGAGAGACCTGGGGAGACACAGGAGACGGAGAGACAGGAGAGGGAAGAAACGAGGAGGAGACGGAGACGGCCGAGAAAGGCGGAAAGTTATAGGTGATGAAAGAGACGACCGGTGACAGAGACAAAGCCTGCCCGAGGGAGACGAGACAGCAGACCATGGAAGGGGACACGGTGGGGGGTGGGGGTAGACTGGGGCTGGGAAGAGAGCTGGGGGAGGGGAGGGAGAGGCTCAGCCCAGGGAGGGGGTGTCCCTTCCCCCTGCTGCAAGGCTTTGGGGTAGAGGCCAGGGGCCTGAGGCCAAGACTGTGGCTTTGAGCGGAAGAGGAGAGGGGGCGAATTATTCACGAAGCGCCCGCCTTGCCCTGAGTTTCCAAAAGGTGATGTGGAGTTTCCATCCCTCAGTCTGTCCGCAGACGGGGTCCCTGAGGAGGACAGCTGGCCCTCAGGAGCTGGAGGACGGAAATGAATAACTGTCACAGGGCCTATTTCCTGCTGTGGCTTCTCCCCAAGTGCCTGGCATCCGTGTGCCAAGCATCGTGCATACAGTCTCTTTCTTAATTGGCGGGCCCCGGGGACATGATCATCTCACTCTGGGATACTTTCAGCGCCTCGGAGTGGAGAAAAGCGGTTATATGACAGCTGGAGAGGAAATAGGCCGAGGCTGGATTCGAACACACAGATCGGTTTCTCCAAAGCTGGGAGCCGCATAGCCCCGCCCCCGGTTTCCGTGGAAACAGGCATCCGGTGTCTCCATAGCAACCCTTCCAAAGATTCCACCTCCACCCCCTGCTGTCGGAGGCAATCTGATGCGTAGGCCCGTTTGGTGACGTCATCGCACCGCGCCAGTCTCACGTGACACCTCCCAGGCGCCGGAAGTGAGTAGAACCGGGCCGGAAGTGGCAGACAGAGGCGGCCTCGTGGAAGAGGCAGCAGCATGGGACAGTCCGGGCGGGTGAGACGCGGCGGCCGGGGAGGCGGGGAGGGAGGACAGGGTCCCTGCGGAGGGCTCGGGGCTCACCGCGCGTCTCTTGTCCCCGCAGTCCCGGCACCAGAAGCGCGCGCGCGCCCAGGCGCAGCTCCGCAACCTCGAGGCCTATGCCGCGCAGCCGCACTCGTTCGTGTTCACGCGGGGCTGCCCGGGTCACAGCATCCGGCAGCTCAGCCTGGACTTGCGGCGGGTCATGGAGCCGCTCACTGCCACGCGCCTGCAGGTCTGTACCACGCACTCCGTCTCCACCCCGCCCTGGGCCCCATCTTCGCGGCTGCGGTGCTGACACCCGCTGTAAAGTCGTGAGAGGCCTCAGTCTCCCCAGCTGGAGAAAGGGACCCTCGCGGACCATTGTCTCTGCCTCTCAAGGTTTTGTGGGGCTTAGTTGGTTGCCTGAGCCTGACGGTTAAGACTGGTCTCTGAGACCGGGTGCGGTGGCTCACGCCTGTGATCCTAGCACTCTAGGAGGCCCAGGCGGTAATGAGCACTGCTCGAGCTCAGGAGTTCCAGACCAGCCTGAGCAAGAGTGAGACCTCATCTCTACTAAAAAGATAAAAATTAACCGGTGTCGTGGTGTGCCCCTGTAGTCCCAGCTACTCCAGGAGTCTGAGGCAGGAGGATCACTTGATCCCAAGAGTTTGAGGTTGCTGTTAGCTAGCCTGAAGCCACAGCACTCTATTCAGGGCAATGGAGTGAGACTATCTAAAAAAAAAAAAAGACTAGACTCTGCAGACAGCAAGATTGGAAACTTCACTCCTCCCAGAGGCCCTGGAGCAAGTTACTTAACCTCGCTGGGCCTCAATTTGCTCATCTGTTAAATGGGGAGATGCACCTAAGCAAGGGGCAGTGGTGGTACTCAATTCAAGTCTGATTGATTGGCTCTAGGGACCAGGGTAATGTCACTCCCTTGGGCCTGTTGCAAGGGTCAGATGCAAAATAGAGCATATAACAAGATCTTTGCCTTAAGCTTATAGCGTTTGCTCAATAAGGGATAGCTACGTTTGTCCTTTTTCTTTTTGTAACTTTCAGATTCATAAGAAGAACTCACTGAAGGACTGTATAGCGGTGGCTGGACCTCTTGGGGTCACACACTTCTTGATCTTGAGCAAAACAGAGACCAACGTCTACTTTGTAAGTGGACACCCTCACCCTTCGTAGGCCCCTCAACTTTGCCCATCTCTTATGATGAAACCGTTTGCCTCTGAGCTGCCATGATTTTGGCTTCAAAGTAAACGCTCTGAAGAAGAGTCAGGACGGAGGTTCTCACTCCTCAGCTCCCTAAGTAGACACCTCCACCCTCACTCATCCTTTGTTCTCTTGTAGAAGCTGATGCGGCTCCCAGGAGGCCCCACCTTGACCTTCCAGGTTAACAAGGTGAGGGGTAGAGGTGGTAGGAGGGCCACATGGGGTGGGAACTGGGCTTGGAGGTGGCTCCAGTGCGTGTGGTGGGTGGTCACTCACTCCTCGCCCTGCCCTGCAGTACACGCTAGTGCGAGATGTGGTTTCCTCCCTGCGCCGGCACCGCATGCACGAACAGCAGTTTGTCCACCCCCCGCTCCTGGTCCTCAACAGCTTCGGCCCCCATGGCATGCACGTGAAGCTCATGGCCACCATGTTCCAGAACCTGTTCCCCTCTATCAACGTGCATAAGGTAGGCTGGGATTGGCGAGATGGCAGGCGTAGGGTGGGGCAGTGCGTACCGCAGTCCCTTGGCTTAAGAGCTCTTGCTCCGGGGTGCGCTGAGTGCTGAGGTCACATTGCCCTCGTGTTCAGTGACGCTGAGCAAAAGTGTCCAGGGTTTTACTCCTAGCCCCATGAGCAGCCTTCTCATCTGGCTGATGTGAAACGATGCCGATGATTTTTTTTAAGAGTCAAGTTCTGAGCCGGGCGCGGTGGCTCACGCCTGTAATCCTAGCACTCTGGGAGGCTGAGGCAGGCGGATTGCTCAAGGTCAGGAGTTCGAAACTAGCCTGAGCAAGAGCAAGACCCTGTCTCTACTATAAAAATAGAAAGAAATTAATTGGCCAACTAATATAAATATATATAAAAAAAATTAGCCGGACATGGTGGCGCATGCCTGTAGTCCCAGCTACTCGGGAGGCTGAGGCAGCAGGATTGCTTGAGCCCAGGAATTTGAGGTTGCTGTGAGCTAGGCTGACGCCACGGCACTCACTCTAGCCTGGGCAACAAGCGAGACTCTGTCTAAAAAAAAAAAAAAAGAGTCAAGTTCTGGTCTCGTATTGTCTCCCAGACTGGAGTACAGTGGTATAATCACAGCTCACTGCAGCCTTATACTCCTGGGCTCAAGTGATCCTCCTGCCTCAGCCTTCCGAGTAGCTGGGACTACAGGCATGTGACATAGCACACCTGGCCAGTCCTGGATTTTTACATCTGTCTGGCTCCATAGCCCCAGCCCAAATCCCCTGCCACCATTGATGTTCGAGTTGGGTTTATTATAAGGTGCCATCAGGAAGTCTGATGCGGGTGGCCTCAGTGGGGCCGGCACCCCAGGCCACGCATGGACACCACTTGGCAGCCCTGTAACCCCTGCCTTCCCCCACACTTGCCCTGTCTGCCGGAGCATGCGGTGAGGCCTAGCAGCCCACGCCCTCTCCCTCTCCCAGGTAAACCTGAACACTATCAAGCGCTGCCTTCTCATCAACTACAACCCTAAGTCCCAGGAGCTGGACTTCCGCCATTAGTGAGTGTTCCAGGACGGAGGGGGTGCGGGGTGGGGGCTTCCCAGTGCGGCTGATGACAGCACTTCCGCTGAGGCTCTGTGATTGCTCAGTCTCAAAGTAAACGCCCTGACGCGCCCTGGAAGGGCAGGGGGCTGGAGCTGACCTCTGACCCCATGACCCTAAGCGCCCCCCTCCCTGCCCATTCCTGCCCTGCAGTAGCATCAAAGTCGTTCCTGTGGGCGCCAGTCGTGGCATGAAGAAGCTCCTCCAGGAGAAGTTCCCCAACATGAGTCGCCTACAGGACATCAGCGAGCTGCTGGCCACGTGAGGAGGGCATAGGACGGGAGGCCACCACAGTGTTATCCAGGGCACCCTAGAGTTGTCGTGGAGCGTGGGATTCCCCTGCTGAGCCCCGTGTGTCCCCAACACAGGGGCGCAGGGCTGTCAGAGAGCGAGGCGGAGCCCGACGGTGAGCACAACATCACCGAGCTACCCCAGGCGGTCGCGGGACGTGGCAACATGCAGGCCCAGCAGAGCGCCGTGCGGCTCACGGAGGTGAAGCCTGGTGGCAGAGGTGACTTCCTCTGGCAGCCCCCAGCCGCAAGGAAGGCTGACTGTTTCTTCTCCCACGTGTCTCCCAGATTGGTCCTCGGATGACGCTGCAGCTCATCAAGATTCAGGACGGCATCGGGGAGGGCAAAGTCATGTTCCACAGCTTCGGTGAGCTGGGGCTGGGTCACAGTGACGGGAAGGGTCGCAGGCGCCGGGTGCACTCGGTAACCACACTCTCTGCCCAGTGCACAAGACGGAGGAGGAGCTCCAGGCCATCCTGGCAGCCAAGGAGCATAAGCTGCAGCTCAAGGCCCAGCGACAAGCCCAGCAGGCCGAGAACGTGCGGCGCAAACAGGAGCAGCGCGAGGCCCACAGGTCTGGGCGGCGGGCAGTGGGCGGGCAGGGTCCCCGGGTGCAGGCGGCCACACGGATGGACTGACTGACGCTGCCCGCAGGAAGAAGAGCCTGGAGGGCATGAGGAAGAAACGGGCCAAGGCCGAGGGAGACAGTGATGCCGAGGACCCTGGGCTCCCCCTGGAGGACAGCCAGTGGGAGGAGGAGGAGGATGAAGCCGAGTATTTCCGCCAGGCCGTAGGCGAGGAGCCCGATGAGGGTGCGTGGCGGGGTCTGGGGCTGGGCGCCCAGGGTCCGTGCTTGTTTCCTGGGGGCCCTGACAACATGGTCTCTCCCCGCAGACATGTTCCCCACGGTGCCCAAGCGGAGACGGCCCACCTGGCCTTCGGTCAGGCTGCATCGGGGAAGGGACCGAGGCAAGGGCCGCCACAGTGACCGGAGACTTACACACCCCAAGGACAGGTTTCAGGGAGCCCAGACCAAGCTGGGGTCCAGAGGGGCTGCCCGGGGTCGCCGGCGAGGCCAGCCACGGCCACCTAAGAGAGTGGCCTGAGCCGAGCCGCGGACAGAATGCCCCAGATTGGGGTCCGAGAGACCCGGCCCTGGGGCTCCAGGTGCGGCCTCGGTTTCCTTTCATAAAGGAGCTGTTCCCCCCCTCCCACCGCAATAAACGCCCGACCCGGCCTTGTGTCTGTGTCTGCTTCCGGGAAGGGGTCCACCCAGAGCGCCCCGGGCCGCGGCACCCAGCAGTCTGCCCTGGTTTCTGCCCTGAGGCGGGGTGGTCTCACTGCGGCACAGCAGGCAGGGCTGGCGCCATTTGGCAGTCCTGGGCCTGTCCCCAGCAAGGGCCCTGTTAACCTGTGTGACTGGGAGGCTGAGGTGTCTGAGGAAGAAGGAAGCGGCGAGGTTGCAGCTGCGGCCAGCCAGGGAGGGGCCAGCCACGCTGAGTGCTACCTGGGGAGGGGCCTGGGCACTGCGTGGGTGGCAGCCCCAGAGGCTGGGCGTGTGCGAAGCATGGCGGCCACCATCTTGGGTAAGGAGTCGGTGATGGGTCGGTTAAGGAACAGCCACTGGTTTTCAGGAAGTTCGGAAGGGAGTTGGGTTAAAACCCAGGTCTAGGCCCAGCAGTCCGGGTGGGGCAGGGGTGTCCCGGCTTGCGCGGCAGGGAGTGGGTGCCAGGGAGGAGGGAGCTGGCCCAGTGCTGCTGGGCCCTGCCATGGGCAGGAAGGGGACCCTCCTCTGCTGAAGGGTGTGTTCTCGGGTCACTCGGAGCTGGCAGGCTGTGGAAGAAAGCTTGGCAGGGAGGCAGGCCTGAGGGTGCACTGTCAATGTCGGGGTGGCCGGGGCAGGACCTCGGGATGGCCCGGAGACCATGGAGAAGTGGGAAGGGAACCTTCAGGAGGTCTGGTGGGTGACTCAGGCAGAAGGAACAGCCCCTGCGATGGGCCCTTAGGGAGCTGGAGTGGCGAGGCTGTAGGGAGTGAGTCAGGGAGCGCAGGAGGAGGTGGCAGCGTGTGGGGTGGGGCCCCAGGGGTGGCCCTGTAGGATGAGTGGCAGCAACTGGGTGAGCATCTGGGAGCAGAGGGACTGGACCGATGCGGCGCTCACTGGCACCCCCCGGTGGCTGTGGGGAGAATAAATGGTGACGGCAGAGGCAACTGGGCTAGTCCAGGTAGATGGGGGACTGAACCTGGGTGGGGCTGAGGTTGGGACAGTACTTGCTGACAGACCTCGAGGAGGATCATAGTGGGCTTGGGGACTCCTGTTCCTCCGCCCCAGCCCAATGGCTTGCGGTGGGCACAGCTGTGTTTCTTGCGCACCTTGAGGCCTGGGACTGCCTGGTTTGCCCCAACTGTTCCTCGGGGCTAGGGACCTGGGAGAGCCCCTTAAGCTTGTCAGCTGAATGAAGGCCCCAGATTCCATATAAAGGAGCTGAGCTCGGTCCCCCTTCCAGGGAGAGGAAAGGACTCAAGTTGAGGGACAGGTCTGCCCCATCAGACAAGGGCTCTGGGGCAGCAGGAGCCTCCTTCCCAGAGGACAGGCCTCAGTGGCGACACCCTGCGTCCACAGGTGCCAAGCCGTGCCCAGCCAACTTCTCGGCGGCTGCCGACCGCATCCTCAGTAGGTTCCAGGAGGACTTCCTGTGGCCCGTGCTGGTGGCCGAGTTCCTGGTGGCTGTGGTTGCCAACGGCCTGGCCCTGTACCGATTCAGCGCGCGGGAGCAGCGCCCGTGGCACCCGGCCGTGGTCTTCTCGGCCCAGCTGGCCGTCAGCGACCTGCTCTGTGCCCTGACGCTGCCCCCGCTGGCCGCCTACCTGTACCCGCCCAAGCACTGGCGCTACGGGGAGGCCGCGTGCCGCCTGGAGCGCTTCCTCTTCACCTGCAACCTGCTGGGCAGCGTCATCTTCATCACCTGCATCAGCCTCAACCGCTACCTGGGCATCGTGCACCCGTTCTTCACCCGCAGCCACCTGCGGCCCAAGCACGCCTGGGCCCTCAGCGCCGCGGGCTGGGTCCTGGCGGCCCTGCTGGCCGCGCCCACCCTGAGCTTCTCCCACCTGAAGAGGCCGCAGCAGGAGGCGGCCAGGTGCAGCGTGGCCAGTCCCGAGGCCTGCACCAAGTGCCTGGGGACGGCGGGCGATCTCCAGCTTGAGGCCTACCGGGCCTACAGCCTGGCGCTGGCGGGGCTGGGCTGCGGCCTGCCGCTGCTGCTCAGCCTGGCGGCCTACGGTGCCCTCGGGTGCGCCGTGCTGCACAGCCCCAGCATGACCACGGCGGAGAAGCTGCGCGTGGTAGCGCTGGTGGCCAGCGGCGTGCTCCTCTACGCCAGCTCCTACGTGCCCTACCACGTCACGCAGGTGCTCAACACGGACGCCCGGCGGCGCTGGCGTGCCCGCTGCCCGGGCTTTGCGGACGTGGCGCAGGCCAAGGCGGCCCTGGAGCTGGGGCCCTACCTGGGCTACCAGGCGATGCGCGGCGTCATGCCCTTGGCCTTCTGCATCCACCCGCTGCTCTACATGGCCGTGGCGCCCAGCCTGGGCTGCTGCCGCCAATGCTGTCGTGGCTGCGGCAGGGGCCGGAACCCAGAAGACGCCAAGAGCACCGGCCAAGCCCTGCCCCTTGATGTCATAGCCACCTCCAAGAACAGCTCAGAGCCCCAGTCCCCCGAGCTGAGCTCATGATGTGGCCTATTTTGAGCGTCCTCCTCACTGCAAGGTGTTGGGACCATGAAGTGCCACAGAATGAGGGTCGCAGCAGGTCCCCGGCCCCGAGGTGCCAACAGGCCCCACGTGCCACTTCCTCCCCCACGGCAACCTGGGGTCGCCGCCAGGGCAGACCCAGCTCGAGCCCAGGCCACAGCTGTCACCTTTCCCACCCACACGCTGAGCCACGCGCGGGCGGGAAGCAGACCCACAGCTCGGGAGAGGGGAGGGCCCCACCGGCCACAGGGTGCTGAGATGCGACAATAAACAGGTCACGTGTAGGGTGACTTGAGCCTTTTTATTGCCCCCAGAGCCCCTGTCTTCAGAGGCTGCCTTCTGTCGCCAAGGGTCCTGGGCTGAGTGTCGTGGTGGCAGCTGGCTTAGTTGGTGGATGGCCTAGGAACAGAGAGGAGGTGCTGAAGACGGCAAGAGAGCTTCCAGCCCCCCAAGGAGGGTCCCCCAAGACTCCCGACACTTAGGCAGGGGTGTGACAAAGGGCACGGAGAGCTGGGCCAACAGTGGGCCCCGGGCACGGCAGCTGCTGCCTGTCGCCTGTCTGCCCCTCTGCAAGGTTTGGCAAAGGACAATAAAAGACGGTCGCCTCCAAACAGGCTGGGTGACTGCTGCAGTGGCATGGAGCCCACAGTGCTGGGAGGAGACGGGAGGGGGGCGGGGCGGGGGTCTTACTTGGCCCACTCGACGTTGAGGATGAGGTGGTCGTAGCCGAAGCCGGACACCCCAGCGATGGCGCGGGCGGCGTCCTCGCGCCGGTGGAAGCTTATGAAAGCAAAGCCCTGGGAAGAGGGGGACAGGGTCAGGGAGCTGCGAGCCAGGACAGATGACCTCGAGCCCCACTGCGGCCGCCCCCCACACCTTGGACTGGCCCGTCGTCTTGTCCTTAGCCAGGTAGATGCGGGAAATGGAGCCGAAGGGCCGGAAGAGCTCCTGCAGGTCGGTCTCACGCGTGTCCTCTGACAGGTTGGTGACGCGGATGGTGGCGTTGTCATCGGCTGTGCGGGTGAGGAGGTGGCTGTGAGTGGGAGGCCCCGCCTGGCTCCCACACCCCAGGGATTACGGGGTATGGGGAGGGGCCCACCCAGCGCCGGGTGCCCCTCACCTCTGCGGTTGGGCTGCATGGACTCTCCGCGGCGGCTGGCCCCATCGCGCAGGCTTGGTGGCACGTATTTCCCGGTCTTGTTCTGGGCGGCCTGCACAGGCTCCAGCTCTGGGGATCAAAAGCACAGTGGTGTTCAGCCAGGAGGCTGGTGGCCCCGGCCCTGACCCGACCCGGGCACCATCTGCCATCGCCAAAGCACAGGCATCTGTTTGGCCCCTTGCAGCCAGGAGCCTCATTGGTTACGATGACACCAAGCTCACAGCCAGGAAACTGACACCACTCGAGCACCCCGCCAGCCACACTGGCAGAAACCACGGTGGATGTGGTCACAGGTGCCCGCACCTCTACGCCCCAGAGGGCTGAGAGCCAGAGAAAATAGAAAGGCCAGCCTCACAATGCAAGGGGACAGCAGGCATGGGACACACAGTAGGGACAGTCCCCAGGTTCCCCAAGAGTGGCAGGGGACAAGTGCATAGTACGTGCCAGTCATAGGTAAGCTCACAAGAGGATCTGCCAGGCATCATCAAACCCAGACCATGCCACAGCATAGCGGTGCCGACACTGCTGTGTGTGTTGGGGGTGAGGTGACAACCACAAAGGGGACACTGGGGGCAGTGCCCATGCACAGTCAGCAGACGATGACCAAGGGCTCCCCCCCCAGCCCCTCACCTCCTGGCAGCTTCTCCTTCTCGCCGGTGGACAGGCCCAGCTGCTCGGCCAGCTCCTTCTGCATGGGCCCCAGCGTGTCCTTGTAGGGGCAGCGGGTGGTCCAGTGGTCGCCCTTGCAGATGCGGCAGGACACTATCTTCTGGCCCTTGAGCTTGTTCATCGGGTCCTCCTCCTCCTGGCAGTTCAGGTCCTGGCAGGGGAGGGTGGCGGCAGCTCAGAGGTGGCTGCTGCACCCACCCACTTCCCCACTGCCACGCCCTCCAGCCTGCTGCCCCCCTTACCTCTTTGCTGGTGATGAAAGTCATGGACACATCATCACTAACGGTGGTGGTGGCCACATTGGGCCCCGGGGGATCAAACTCTGAGTTCCCGAACTTCTTCCAGTTCTGTGCTCGGGGAGGGACAGGGGACAGGTCAGGGCAAGGGCAGGCAGGGTCCCACACTGAGGCACCCACAACAGCTACTCCCAAAGTGTCTGGGCCTTGAGCCCCATTTCTCCTCCTCCCAAACATCCCCAGAACAGTGACAGCTCCGGCACGCAGGGACAGCTCCCAGCCCCATGTTGCATAAAAGAGAACAGAGACAGGTGGGGGGTGGGTGCAGGACAGAGGCACAGTCCCCATTTCTGGGCCCCCGCCGGGGAGCAATGTCCAGGGACGTGCAGAGGTCACCCAGACAACAAGGAACCTTGAGCTAAACCACTTGAGCCTCAGCTTCCTCGCCTATAAAATGACAAATGCTTCCCACCTCCCTGGGCTTCTAGGGAGATGGAACGAACAAGCAAACACCTTCTGTGGGGTACCTGGCCTAGGGTCTGGAGCAAAGTGCACAGCACAGTGGGCTAAGCGCACTGACTGCCACTGCTTCTTCCAGAAATATGCAGCCCTGGGGAAACAGGAGCCGCTACGACCACCTCAAGGGAAGGCTTGGCTCCCTTCCTCCAGGTCGACAAGCCAAGAGGATAAGAATCTAACCCCACCTGTTCCTGCACCCCGGACTTTTCAGGGCTCCAAGAGAGTACAAACACCTCAGGCCCCCATTCTGCCTCAACAAAACAGGCACAGTCAAATCCCACCTCGGGGAACAAAGATTCCCAAGTCCCTGGGGTCAGCTCTGGGGAAGGAGGGGCTCACCTTCCTCCTTGCGACAGCTTTTGAGGCCTTCCTGGTCTCAATCCTGAAGGTGCGGACAATCTGTGGACAGGAGGGGAGAGGTTAGGGATTCCCACATCTCCAGGCTCCTAGGACCAAAGGATCTCCTTACCAACCACGCCCCTAAGCAAGAGTACCCCCTTTTCCAGCCCCGCCCCTTCACCTTGAACTTTTTGCCATCATCATCTATCTTGTACTCAGTCACTGTCTTTATGTTGCCATTGATGACCTCCTTGGGAGGTGGCAGTGGAGCTGGGAGAGGGAGAAAGGTGAGAGGGAGTGAGCCTGGGTGTCAGAGACCAGGCAGGACAGGGCTGGGGGAGAGGCAGCTCTGGGGCTGGAGTGGAAGTCGTCACTCACCTCCTGGCAGTAGCTCAGGCTCTGGGCTGGTGTCCCCGGTGGGCAGAGGGATCCCCCTGAGGAGCTCGCTGGTGACACATTTGTCTGCGAGAAGGAGCGTGGGGAGAAGGGATCAGCTCCAGAAGCTGAGATGGAAGGGCTTTGGGGATGACACCCACACAAACAGCTGAGGAAGGCAGGACCAGGGACAGAGGGATCACGGACAGTGCGCTGTGGGGACCCTGAGTGGCAAGGACAGGGAATCCCCAGCAGGAATGTGGGGGTCAAGCCAAAAAGCCCGCCAGGCACTAGTACAGAGGCAGGAAACAGGCCGGTACAGCGTCCTCGGAGAAGGGGAGCAGCTGCGAGGTCTTGGCCAGTGGCACGGGAGGAAGGAGGACTGGCCGGCCAGTGAGCGCCTGGAGATGGCAACAGGCTGGCCCCGACGATGGCGCGGGGCTGGGGCTAGGCGCCCACGGGGAATGCAGGTTCCGAACACGGTGTCAGGGTTGGGGGTCGAAGCAGGCCGCAGTGGCGGAGCTGGGGGCTGGCCGCGGTGACGCGGGGCGTCCGGGGACACTCACCGTCCTCTCCTTCCTCCTCCACCTGGTCGGCCCAGCTGGGCTTCGAACTGCCGGGACAAGTTTGCGGGGGAGTCAGCGAGGCCCGGCCACCACGGCCTCGGCACACCCAGGCCCCGTAATACTCCCTAGGACCCCCCGACTGCCTCCCGGGCCCCCACTCCTACGACCCCCAACTCACTCGAAGTCGCCGGTCGGCATTGCAGAAAGTCTTGTCCACGCAGCCCAAGCCCGGGCCAGAGAGCGGAAGCGGGAAAGAACGAGACTTCCGGTGCCGCCGGCGATGTCTAGAGCGACCCGGTCTCGGCGCCCACAGCGCCACCGTGCGGGTGGAGGGAAGGCTGCTGGGCGATGCTGGTGCCAAACCAGTAAGGGAGCAGAGGTGCATCTCAGGGCTCATCGTATTAACCAGACGGATGGATGGGAAGGTGGATGGGTGCTCTCTTATTGAGCGCTTATTGTATGCTGGGCACTGTGAGGAGGAAATTAACATTTCCATTTTGTAGCTGAAGAAACCAAGTCTCAGAAAGAACAAAATAACCCTTTGTTAGGAGGGAGGATCGCTTGAGGTCAGGAGTTCAAGACCTGCCTGAAGGGCAGGGTGCGGTGGCTCACGCCTATAATCCTAGCACTCTGGGAGGCCGAGGTGCGTGGATCGCTGCGCTCAGCGCGTTCGAACTTCTGACACTCGAGCAATCTGCCCGCCTGGGCCTCCCCAGAAGGCAGGATTACCCGTGCATTTTATTTATTTGACACAGAAATCTTCTCTCTGTCACCCCAGGGAGAGTGTTATAGTGTTGTCATAGCACGCAGGACCTCAACCCGGGGGCTCAAGTGATCCTCCTGCTCAGCCTCCCAAGTAGCTGGAACTACAGACAGGTGCCACCATGCATGGCAAATTTTTCTATTTTAGTAGAGACAGGTCTTGCTCTTGCTCAGGCTGGTTTGGAAACTTGACCTA